CCCCAAAACCCCAAAACCCCAAAACCCCTAGAAAGTCCACTCAGATTGAGATATTTATAGAATTTAAACAATAGGAGTACTCCTTTCTCAATCTTAGCAGTATTTTGGGTGATTTCCATACAAATCTAGCATACTTCCTTCCCAATCAATTACATTCCAGAGATCTTTCCCAAACCCCCTCAAATCCTCCTCCCATCCCCTTCTCCCCTCCTCCCACTCAAAATCCCCTTCCTCTCCTTCCACCTCTTCTACTTCCAGTCAGCTCCAGAACCCCAGCCTAAACTGGCAGCTCGAGTAGAGCTGCCAGTTTAGGTCAGGTTCTTTGTGGCTGAGCTAAAAGGAGGGGCTGGGGAGGAAACTTTTGGGAGAATGTGGAAGTGGGGTTAGGGGGTGGAAGGAGTTACTTTGGAGAAGAGGGTGGGATTGGGGAGGGGGTGGTGGAGGGGTAGAGGGAGGAGTAGGGGGTCTTGGGGTGAGGGGTTGGATAGGTGGGTGATTTTGTGGGTAAGGTGGAGGATGAGGTAGTGGAGGATGAATAGGGGTTTCTTTAAGATAGGTTTGGTTTTAATTGGAGTCTGTGCAAGATTTCCAATTTTTTTTGGTGGTCTGAAAGAATTCGTCAATGAGCTCTCTTGTATGTTTTAGGATCTTCAGAATCTTCTTGAGAGGCATCCTCTTACGAGATTGTTGACCTGTGACCTTGTTAAAAAATGTATATAATGTGGTGCCAAAGCCTTCCTCCCGAGGTTCTGAATACTTCAGAATATAGTTAACAGGCTTAGTCTGACAGCTTACATCTCTCTCTTCTTCGAGGATTACTGGCCTCTGCTCATTAATTGTATGATAGGTAAGGTTTGGAAATCTGGCTTGCCTTGAGTTGTTTCCAGAAACTCCTTTGGTCTCCTCAGTTAAGATTTCGAAGTGATGGGTCTGATGTGATTCTGATATTTTAAACATTTCAGCATTTTTGTCAAGGTCATCATTAGTCTCTCTCAATAGATCATCACACAATAAGTCCATATAAATATTTTGGATAGGTTCATTATACTCAATTTTAATAGACTCCATGACTAAATTCTTAATATCTTTCGACTCTAAAATATTTATAAGGGGTTTTGGGGTTTTGGGGTTTTGGGG